CCAAGTTCTTCTAGCGCGTTCCGGTAGCTAATCATCTGTGCCTGAAAGCCAAATATATCGGTTCAGCGAGAGATGCTGGTAACCCACTCCAACGCGTTGAAATACAATATAGGTATATATATATATAGGTATATATATATATATATATATATATATATATATATATATATATATATATATATATATATATATAGGAAAATCATTTTGAAGCAGGAAGTTATACACTTAGGATACTCTAGCTTTAAAACCAGGAATAGACTCAGCAAATAGGGACAAGCACATTAATCAATGATAACAGTTAAGTAGAGATAACATCATAAGGAATACGCATCTAAGGCCAAAGATTACTTTTCAATTCAAACACATCATCATTCAAGTATCATTCATATCACAAAATCATTGATGGCGCCACGGGACCAATCGCATGCCCCTAACATGACGGTTAATGCTTATAGCATTAACACGGCCCCGCAACACCCTACCTCAGTACCGTGGTATGAGGGGAGTTGATCGCAACCAACCCTTTGAGAACCGCTGACGAACTCAGCGTCGGACCACGATCCGACACACCGCTGACGCGCCCAGTCGGTGGACGGCGATCCCCTTTACAAGGGGGGACTTACGACCCTACACACCGTTGAAGCGCACAATCGGTGGACCGTAGCGGATCAAGCCCGACACACTGCTGAGCTAAACTCAGTCGGTGGGCGAAGATCGTCGGAGACTACGGCCCTACATACCGATGTCCCATCACTCGGTGGATCGTAGCCTGCCGTAGCCCTACACACCGCCTGATTACTCAGGTCAGTGGACTAAAGCCTTCCTCGGCTTGTTGGCCCTACACACCGCCTGTGGTGATATCTATTGTGGTGCGACTTCTAGGTGCCTCCTATGTCCTTATATATATATATTTAGGAGTCTTAATTAGGGTCTGAATGGTATGGGTCTACTAATTCTATTCCTTATAGGACTAAGGACTTGTTTTAGGGATAAGGGTCCATGGTCCATGGTGGACCATATTAATTAATTAAAGAGAATCATAACCATAATCTGAATAGTAAAGGTATACTTTCTTTATTCCTAATAGGCTTATGACTCTAGTTTAGGCAAGGGTCCACGATCCGTGGTGGACCACATTAATTAATTAAAGGGATTTCTAATCAAATTAAATCCTTTTTAATTATAATTAATGAAATTAATTAAATAATTAATTCGGGATTAAAGGCCGTAACACGGGGTGTTACAGCGCAGTCTAGTGCCTGTTAGCATAGCTTCTCCCGTTGGTTTTATGGCCTGTGTGCCGCTTTAGTTATAGACTTTGGAGACTTTTGGATAGTTGTAAACAATGCAGATGTTGTCGTAGCGTTCATCCTTGTTGGTGAACGTGGCATAACACCCCATGACTTGGATTTATATTTATCCAGTTTTCTTTTAGTCTTCCGCTGTGTTTGTTGTTTAGTTGTGTTATCTGCATGTTTTAAGGTTTTAATTAGCCTGTTTTTAGAGGGTGTTACAGTTGATATCAGAGCCTAGTTTTGAGCCTAGGAAGGAGTTAAGTCTATACTTTCTAAGTGGCTAAGTGTGGTTTGAGACCTTTAAGCAACCTTAAGAATCGAAGTGTTAGGCTTAGGACTCTAGGTTGCACGGTGAGCTGAGTATTGCTTTCTGTTCTTTGCTTGTTTGTTATCTTTTGGTAACCGTGTTGTTGTTGTAGAAGTTTGCGATGCCTCCCCGTCAGCATACCGCAACGTTTGAAGACACGAGTGAAGTGGTTAAGAAATCTAGGTTGGCCAAATCTAGCAACGCTTCTGGGATGATTGAGCAAAGGATCCGGAACGGCACGTCAACAAAAGTGAGTCCTAGTGCAGCTACCTTGCCGGCATTTCGAGATTTAAGAAGGAATGGGACAATAGAAGTTCACCATCCGACGGGAGGGTCACCTCAAGGAAAACGCTTATCCTAAGTGAAGCTCGAACAAGTGACAGTGATGTAGTAATTGGAACCTTTCTCGTGCAGTCCGTCCCGGCAACAATCCTGTTCGATTCGTGAGCATCTAACTCGTTCATATCACCCGGGCTCGTGAAGAAGTTGGATTTAACCGGTGGTGTTGGGGTGGAGCTTAACGTTAAGGTAGCATCCTGGGAAGTTAGGATGTGTGACCGTCTCTTTGAGGGCATCAAGATTAACATCAAGGGAGAGGAGTTTCCTAGTGATCTAATCCAGTATTACTTGGACGGGATAGACGTGGTCTTAGGTATGCGGTTTAGAGCTCAAATCCTGTGTAAAGAGCAGGAAGTGGTGTTACGGGGGTCCAGCGGGAAGAGGGTGTCGTATCGGGGAACGACGGAGAAACCCGGGATCAAGTTAGTATCAATCAAAAAGATGAAAAAGTACGTGGAGAAAGGCAATGAGCTATTCTTGTGCTCTGTTGAAAATCTGAAGGCAAAAGGAAATGTAGCTCAGACCATACCCGTTGTCCGTGAATTCCTTGATGTTTTTCCCGAGGAAATACCGGGTATGCCCCCTCCGAGAGAAGTGGAATTCTCAATGGATCTTATACAGGGCACTGCACCCATTTCCAAGGCCCCATACCGGTTAGCAAAGAAGGAAATGCAAGAGCTGAAAACCCAACTACAAGAGCTTTTAGACAAAGGCTACATCCGACCAAGTACATCGCCGTGGGGAGCTCCGGTGTTGTTTGTGAAGAAGAAGGATGGTAGTATGAGGTTGTGTATCGACTACCGAGAGCTGAACCAAGTCACCATCAAGAACAAGTACCCCCTTCCGCGAATTGACGACTTGTTTGACCAACTCCGTGGCGCAGGAGTGTTTTCCAAGATTGATTTGAGGTCAGGATATCACCAGATAAAGGTGGCAGACAAGGATATTCCTAAGACCGCATTTCGGACTCGGTACGGTCATTACGAGTTTTTGGTGATGCCGTTCGGTTTGACAAACGCCCCTGCAGTGTTTATGGACCTGATGAATAGAGTATTCAAACCTCATCTCGACGACTTCGTGATCGTGTTCATCGACGACATCCTGGTGTATTCAAGGGATAAAAGGGAACATGTTGGACACCTTCAGACGATACTCCAAATTCTAAGGGAAAAACAGTTGTACGCCAAGCTTTCAAAGTGCGAATTTTGGAAGGACAGTGTAGCATTTCTGGGTCACGTGATCGATATTAGGGGTATTTCTGTGGATCCGGACAAGATACGGGCAGTGAAGGATTAGACTATGCCTACATCGGTGGCAGAAGTAAGAAGTTTTCTTGGCTTAGCGGGTTATTATCGAAGGTTTGTTTTGGATTTTGCTAAGTTGGCTCAACTATTGACTAAGTTCTTAAGGAAAGAAGTGTCTTTCGTTTGGAATCAAGCGTGTGTGTTAGCATTTTGGGAATTGAAGGAGTGGCTGACATCTGCACTAGTTTTAATTTTGCCTTCAGGAACAGAAGGGTTTGAGGTATACAGTGATGTATCCAAGAAGGGACTAGGTTGTGTGTTGATGCAAAATGGGAGAGTAATTGCGTACGCCTCGCGTCAACTTAAAGTTCACGAAGAGATTTACCCTACCCATGACTTGGAATTGGCCGCCGTAGTGTTTGCTTTGAAGATTTGGAGGCACTATTTGTACAGGGTGCGTTGCAAGGTTTTCACGGATCACAAGAGACTCAAGTATATCTTCACCCAAAAGGATCTTAACATGCGACAAAGAAGGTGGCTAGAACTCATCAAAGACTATGAGTTGGACATCCAGTACCACGAGGGAAAGGCTAATGTAGTGGCGGACGCTTTAAGCAGGAAATCGAAGCATACCGTCAATTCTATTTGGATAGTAGCTAATGAACTTTGCAAAATATTCCAACGGTTAGACTTGGTGGTGGTAGAGCAAGGTGAGGTCGAATCGGAAGTCCGTTTTTACAGCTTAAGGGTGGTACCTACGTTTCTAGAAGAAATCAGGAAAGAGCAACAGAATGATGCAAGCTTGATGAAGGCAAGAGATGACCTGATAAAAGGAAAAGGGGGACCGTTTGAGCTGTCTAAGGATGGAGAGATGAGATATAAAGGCCTCTTGTGCGTACCCGCATCTTGTGAGCGGTGGAAACAACAGATTTTGGAAGAAGGTCATAACATGCCCTATTCGGTCCATCCCGATGGCGACAAGCTGTACAAGGAAGTGAAGAGTCACTTCTGGTGACCTAATTTAAAGAAGGAGGTCGCAGAGTTTGTTGGGAAGTGCCTTAATTGCCAAAAGGTTAAGGCGGAGCGTTGTAAGGCCAAAGGATTGGTACAACCATTGGAGGTTCCACAAGGAAAATGGGACTCCATATCTATGGATTTTGTGGGAGGCCTACCGACAACCCGTTCGAGTAAGGACAAAATTTGGGTCATAGTTGATCGATTGACTAAGACTGCTCGCCTTATAGCAATGAAGGAACCTGGACAATGACGCAATTGGCTCAAGCTTATGTCAATCAAGTGGTGAAATATCATGGAATTCCGCGGGACATCGTCTCCGATCGTGATCCAAGATTCTTGTCTCAGTTCCGAAAGTCTCTGCAGGCGGCTCTTGGAACCAAATTAAATCTCAGTACTGCTTTCCACCCGGCGACTGATGGGCAAACAGAGAGGACTATACAGACTATCGAAGATATGTTGAGAGCTTGTATGCTAGATTTCCAAGGGTTTTGGGAGGATCATTTGGATTTAATCGAGTTTTCCTACAACAACAGTTATCATTCGAGCATACGCATGGCGCCTTATGAAGCCCTCTATGGTCAGAAGTGTCGCAGTCTGCTTTGTTGGGAGGATTTAGTCAACCCGATAGTGTTGGGGCCGCAATTTTTGCTTGACACAACCGAGAAGATTAAACAAATTCAAGGAAGGATGAAAGCGGCTCAAGATCGCCAAAAGTCCTACGCCGATTTGACTAGAAGGCAAGTGGATTTATCGGTTGGGGATAAAGTTTAGTTGAAGGTATCTCCCACCCGAGGAGTGATGCGGTTTGGAAAGAAAGGAAAGTTGAGCCCCAGGTTTATAGGTCCGTATGAAATCCTTGAGAGGGTTGGAAGTTTGGCCTATCGTTTGGCGTTGCCCTTGGAATTGGAGAGAGTGCACGATGTGTTCCACGTATCGCAGCTCAAGAGATATGTTCACGACCCAACTCATGTCTTACCGTCGGAAGAGATACCTTTGGATGAGGACTTGACCTATGAGGAATGGCTGCTCAGAATTCTGGATTTCAAGACTCGGGACACTCGTAGGAAGTCTGTAAAGATGGTAAAGGTTTGGTGGACGCATCATGGGGTTGAGGAAGCTACTTGGGAGCTGGAGTCCACCATGTGAGAGTTGTATCCAAAGTTGTTCCCAGCAGGTACCTCGTCTTCGTTGTTTGTGCTTGCCTTCTGTGCTTGTTTGTTGCTTGTTGTTTTGGTGTTTAGTTAGCTTAGTAGTTGGTGTTGGTTGCCTAGTTCTTGGTGGTCGTCTAGAAGTCGGTGTTTGTGTTGAGGCTAGAGTGCGTGATGCTCAATCTATCCGTTTGTTAAACTCTTGCCAATCCTTGATTTGATACGCCTTCATTCTTGTTTTGAAACTCTTGTGAAATCTTTTGAGTTTTGACCAAAAGAGCTTGTTCTTGAACCTCTTGTCACAATGTTGTTTCTTTTCACCGTTTGCTTTTAATTCGTCGTACCCAAGCTTCGGGGACGAAGCTTCTTTGAAGGGGGAGAAGATGTGACACCCCTTAATCCAAATCCAATTAAGGGATTAATTGAGTAATTAATCCTATTTCAATTTGTAATTTAATTCCTTAAATTCCTGAAATTTAATAGTTGGGGACTAGTAATTGACTAGTCAACCCCAAAGTCAAAGTTGTACCTTGAGCATTGTAGGGAGTTCCCTTGTTCCTTACACTTCCTTATGTTAGTAAGGGTATTCTTGACCTTTCACTTGTTGTTGGCAATGTAACCTAACCTAGTGAGACCACTTCCATTCTATCCTTACACTTTTCTAAAAATCTAGCTTCACCCTCTCTCTAAAAGGGGAGTAGCTTTTCTTCCAAGCAAGTTGGAACCTTGCCAAAACTTCAAGAGTTGCTTCCAAGATTCAACCTTTCTTATATTTGGGCATCTAGGAGGGTAAGATCTAAGTTCATCTTGTGTTATTGGTTTTATCTAAGGTGTCTTTTCTTAAAGATAGGATCTTTATGATCTTTTGGTATGTTCTTGAAGTGGGTTTGGAAGGTGAGCCTTGTGAGGAGCTTGTTGAGGTGTAAAGTGAAGTCTTTAGTCTACAAGAAGTAACCCATGCTCTACAAAACCTATTTTGCTTACCTATATGTGAATATTTCTTGGATTCTACATGTGTTTTGCTATGAAATGTGAGTGTTGATGCATGATCTTGTGAAAATGCATATCTAGAGCTTGTGTTTAGGGTTCTTTTGTGCCATTGCATGGCATTTCCTTTGATACAAGTCATTTTGTTGTATTTGGTGAGATTTGGCATGATTTGGACTTGAATTTGAGTTGGAGATGAAAAATCCGCGAAGTGTGGTTTTGTGGTACAGGTGGTACCCGCGGGCGGAACGGCGGGTAGGAGGCCCACCCGCGGGGTACGTGTGGTAAGGAGGCCTGTACCCGCGGGCAGGACCACGGGTAGGGGCCTACCCGTGGGCCCACCCGCGGGTACACAAGTGGTGTTGTTTGGGGATTTGTTCCCCGTGATTCTTTTTACTCGGTATTTGGTCTTTTGACTTCCCGATGTTCTTTCGTGGAACTATTTGAGTGTCTTCTTGATGTTTCGTACGTCTAGAACTATATGGTAGGATTCCATGTAGGTTTTGGTGTCGTGAATCGTGCTAAGTGTTCAACATTGTGATTCATTAAACCGTTATGAGTCTTGTGTGTTCTTCGGAACAATCTTTGGTTTACCCATTTGATAAGCATGCTAGTTCGGCGTTTAAATGCTAGCGTGTGCGTTGTTTGTACCTTCCGATTGGTTGATGATAACTTGTGTTATTCATTGTTGTTGTTGGGTTGTGACCCATTCCTTGGTTAAGTGTGGTTTCATATCTTCATTGTTATCCGTTGATTGATTCTTGTTGTGGTGTAATGTGTGTGTGGCTTTACCTGGATTGCACGATTAGTGGAATGGGACATTAGTCACCAAGGTATTGCAGTGGTCCTCGTGGTGGTCGTGACATGATTATGGAGTTGTGACCTTTGTGTAAAGTTCACGTGATTCTTGGGTGGCATGTGTTGTCGTGTGTGTGTACGGTACCCTCGTGTACTATGAAATTGGTGGTCTTGTTGGTGGTTTGTTGGTGGGGGACGAGGGTCCCAGGAGGGAAAAGGTTGGACTAAGAAGTACAGGGGTCCTGGAGGTAATGGTTGGAAAGAAGATACAAGGTTGGGGGTAGCCATAAGGTTGGAACCGGGTATAAGGAAGGCATATCAACTCGTGATGGGTGATGTCACGAGGGCTTGTGTAGCCGTGGTTATGATTTCCCTTTCTTGTGACGTGTGTAGTCACAAGGGCATGTGTTTCCATTGGTCTTGTCTTTATCCTTTTGAGTTGTTGTTGTCTTTGTGGTTTGGGATGTGTTCCCGTATCCTTGTTGAGAGTGTTGAGTCTTGTGTTGACTATTACTCTTGGTTTTGTACTTATATACTTATGTATTCCATTTCGAAAATGGCTTTACAACTTATATCTTACTTATGTATGTTATTTCACATGTATTGGTAGGTTACCAGCTTTATTCGCTAACCGGGCGTCGTCTCATGTTTTATTGTGTTCTTTCAGGTGATGTCTAGACGAGTGCGCAGTCTAGTCTGTTAGCATAGCTTCTCCCGTTGGTTTTATGGCCTGTGTGCCGCTCTAGTTATAGACTTTGGAGACTTTTGGATAGTTGTAAACAATGCAGATGTTGTCGTAGCGTTCATCCTTGTTGGTGAACGTGGCATAACACCCCATGACTTGGATTTATGTTTATCCAGCTATCTTTTTGTCTTCTGCTGTGTTTGTTGTTTAGTTGTGTTATCTACGTGTTTTAAGGTTTTAATTAGCCTGTTTTTAGGGGGTGTTACATACTAGCTGAAGGAGTGTGCTTCACCTACTAGCTTGATGAATCACCTACTAGCTTAGTGATTCACCTACTTGTTTGTGCAACTTCTTCACTACTTATGTAACACCCTGTGTTACGGACTTTAATCTCGAATTAATTATTTAATTAATTCTGATAATAATAATTAAAAAGGATTTAATTTGGTTAGGGTTCCCTTTAATTAATTAATGTGATGTGGTGCACCAGGGACTGTAGACCTGTGTTTATAATAAGGACTTTAAGTCTATTAGGAATAAAGAAAGTGGGCCTTTACTACTCAGATTCTAATTAGGAATCCTAAACCTATATATCTGTTAGGAATAGAAAATAGGTCTTTACTATTCAGACTCTGATTATGATTCCTAACTCTATAAATTGGGGATTAGAAGGCAATTAGAACCCTTACCACCCATAGTTATATTACACGAAATTATGCCCAAGAGATTCCCCACCGCCAAGCCTAGGGAGATCAATCGGATGGAAATCTTAGAGAAGAACCTTAATAGTCAAGGGAGGATTAATTAAGGCTAAGAGATAACGCATGTCTGAACAAAACCTATTTTCCTTGCTATATCTTATTTATTGGCTCCTTTGATAATTGTGTGTGTAATTCTGTGATTGAGTCTTGATAGAGCCCTTGCATAGGATTTATATTGTGCTTATTTGATAATCTTGATGTTCTTGATATTGTGATTGATTATCTGTGTGATCTTGTATTTTTAATTAAGTCTAGAGCCCTAGGGTTTATATCGTGAATTTCGTATTATGATGTTCTTGGTATATTTGGGTGGGTTTATGCATGATCCGGTGTTGAGTCTAGCGTAGGACTTGTGTTTAGGACTTTGCATATAAATTTCATGATCTTCCTGTGGTTTCAGATGCTCATGAACCATTATATGATTTATGTTGAGTCTTGGCATTTTAGGAATCGTGTTAGAACGTATTTTGTATGATTCTTGGTTTGATTCCGTTAATTGAATACGTGGTGTTGTCATTATGGTTTGAATGTCTTTGGACATGGTTTCGGGTTCCACGAGTGATCCCGGGACCAAAAAGTTGTTTATGTACCAGTGGGGGGATGACCTGTAACAACCCAAAATTCTATTTTATAAATCAGGTATTAAGAAAATCCAAAATAGCCATTTTCACTCCATTAAAAAAAATTGCGATCAATCGGTGTTTGAATAAAATATTTTCGTCACATTCTAAATTAATTCGACACCAAAAATGGATTCTATTCGAAGAATTCCTAAGTTTTCGGGTACTTCACGTACCAAGATTTAAATCGAGAATTTTTTCTGAGTGAGACCGGGAGAATTCAAAAAGGATTTTTCAACAAGTGTTCATCCAAATAGCTTTTAGGAAAATTCACTTTCAACCCCAAAGTAATAAAAGATAGCATTTCTAGCCTATGGTTCATGTTGCATGGTGGACCACAAGACAACCAGAAATCCCTTCCTGATTCATCTTTTAGCTTGTAGAATTACCCCTTTGCCCTCAACCAATCATTGAGAATCATCCTAGGGTTTTGAACCCTTATAAATAGAATTGTGTTTGCCTCTTTTTCTCCTGATCTCTTCCTTGGCTGCCTACACCATAGTAGTAAGCTTCTTCTCCATTCATTTCCTCCTTCTCTAAGTTTCTCTACATATCATCTCTTCTGAAGGTTTAAGACTTAGGTCTTGTGTGGTTTTTGAGATGTTTAGGTGGTGAAAGAAGTAGAGATCCTTGAGTGAAGTGGGGCTGCAATCCAAGCAAGAAGATTAGACTACAAGAGGTATAACCCCATGGATTCCTCTTTAAATTTTGGCTCTATGAAGCCTTAGTGATGAATAGAAATGAGTAGAAACTATGAGTTTTTGATGTGTTCATGCTTAGAAGTGACTTAGTATTTGTTTGGAGTTGTTGAGATTTTTTTCGACTTGTTTGGATGAGTTTTTGCAAGAGAAACATCATCTGGTGCACAACACAGTGTGCACCAGTTCAAAGAGACGGCTCTAACCGCGGCCCATCAGGAGAGCCGCCGGCTAGAGCCGTGGTGGCATGAGACTAGGGCACGGCCCTAGAGGAGGGTCGTTTCCTAGTCCCGGTGCTTTAACGGGGCTCAAGGGGCGGACCATGAGGAGTCCCGCCCCAGGTCCCTGAGATTATTCTGTGAAGGATTTTTGTGCAGTGGTCGGGCCCTTGTGGCTCAGCTACGTGTCGTTTCGGACCGAGGGTTAAGGGCCCTTGTGGCTCGGCGCTT